GCAGCAGCAGCAACTTCTTCGGCCTCATGGGGCCCTCACTGTCCCCACCAAACAAGCGCGAAAACCCCAACATTTCAAACCCTCCGCTGCTGCTGCTGCTGCTGCTGCTGCTGTTGTTGTTGTTGTTGCTGCTGCTGTTGCTGCTGCCCCTTGTTGTGGTGATGAAATTGTTGCTGCTGTTGCTGCTGCTGCTGTTGCTCCTGCTGCTCCTGCAGATGTATTTATACTGCGCAAGAGGAGCGGATCTGCAAATGCTGCAGCAGCTGCTGCTGCTATTGCTGCTACTACTGTTGCTGCTTCTGCTGCTGCATGGATTCACAAGCTGCAGAAGGGAAAGATATCGAAAAAAGTCTAAGGATTAAGGTCTAGAACTGTAAACCCTAAACCCTAGACCCTGCTCGAATAATTAGGGTTTAGGGTTTAGGGGCCCCGAGATGGAGGCGTTGTGATCCTACGAGGGTTTACGAGGGTTTAGGGAATAAAAGGTGACATAATATATAAAAAGAATTATAAAACACCTTTTGGTAACGGTTCTAGGGTTTAGGGTTTAGGGTTCGAGGGTTTAGGGTTTAGGGTTTAGGGTTTAGGGTTCGGAGTATCGAACGCATGCCGGATCGCTCCGTTGCTTTTTTCTTGTTTCTTTGCTTCTTTTTTCTTCTTTTTCTTCTTTTTTTTATTTACTATTAATTAATAATATAATAAATATAATTAATTTAATTTAATTTATTATTTAGTGCATATAAATAGGCAAAAAGAAGAAAAGAGGAAAACAAGATCATCTACCTATGCGTTATCATTATTATAGAGCCTAAACCCTAAACCCTAAGCCCTAAGCCCTAAACCCTAAACCCTAGCAATATATTTCTTTTTTATTTATTTTATTTTATTTATTTTATTTATATTTATTTATTTTTATTTTTATTTCTTCCTTTTGTTTGCTGCTCTTAGCTATTGCCCTCTACTAGTTACTCTATACTAATACTTACTAGCAGCAGCAGCAGCAGCAAACAACTGGATCTGCTGCTGCTGCTGCTGCTGCTGTTGTTGCTGCTGCTAATAGCTGTAGATGCATGCGCTACCTGCCTAGCTAGCTGTACCTAGCTGTACCTAGCTAGCTGCAGCAGCAGCAGCTAGCTGCCGATATCTGCAGCTAGCTGCAGGTATCGGCTATCTTATCCATTGTTCCTGTTGCTGCTCCTGCTGCTCCTGCTGCTTGCAGCAGCAGCAACAGCAGCAGCTGTACCATCCTTTGGGTGTTTATTTAATATTTTGTTTAACAAAAAGAAGAAGAAGCAGCAAACGCTTAAATTAAAAAAGAGCAGCACCTGCTGCTGCTGCTGCTGCTGCTGCAGCAGCAGCAGCAGCAAACTAAAGAGTTTATTGTTGCGGTGTATATACACCTAAATGTACTATAGAAAATATATTTATTTATTTATGTATTTATAAATAAATAAATAAATAATAAAATATAAATGCATGCATGCATTTGCATGCATGTTACATAAACAAAATAGCTGCTGTAGTTATTGCTGCTAATGTTGCTGCTGTTGCTGCTGCTGCTGCTGTTGCTGCTGTTGCTGTTGCTGCTGCAGTTGCTGCAGCAGTATTCTGTATATCAACAATTTCTTCATCATAATCCTTATGTACACCTCTCCAGCTGCTGCCTTTGCTGCTGCTGCTGCTGCTGTTGCTGCTGCTGCTGCTGTTGGTGTCCTTGCTGCTGTTATCCTTACTGCTGCTGCTGCTGTTGCTGTTGCTGCTGCTGCTGCTGCTGCTGCTGTTATTAATCTGTGGCAGCAAATAAGATAATTGTGATCTAAGTGTACCATCTTGCTGCTGCGCGTATTGCTGCAGCAGCAGCATATTATTTATTTCTTGCTGCAGTATATAATTTAAGGAAAAAACATCTTTTTTTATTTCTTTTTTTATTTGCTGCTGCTGCTGCTGCAGCAAATTTAATGTATACACCCCAGCTAATGATGACGATGCATCCTGCAGCAAATCTGCTGCTTCTCCTTTTATTGATGATAAACGTTTCTCTGTACTCTTCTCTCCCTCTTCCTTGCTGCTGCTGCTGCTGCTGCTGCTGCTGCTGCTGCTGCTGCTGCTGCTGCTGCTGGTGGGGGTGGGGGTGGTGGAGGTGGTGCTGCTGTTGCTGCTGCTGCTGCTGCTGCTGCTGCTGCTGCTGAGGAGGGTATTAGCGAGGGGAGATATTATATGGGTAGATGCAGGGTGGTGCTGCTTCTGCTGCTGCTGCTGCTGCTGGTCATGATATTGGTGCTGCTGCACCTGCACCTGCTGCTGCTGCTGGTGTTGCTGCTGTTGCTGCTGCAGCGGCTGGTCCCCATGTTGCTGATGATGATGCTGATGCTGCTGCTGCTGCTGCTGATGGTCGTGATGCTGGTGTTGCTGATGCTGCTGATGCTCGTGGTGCTGCTGCTGCTGCTGCTGCTGCTGCGGATGGTCTTGATGCTGGTGCTGCTGGATGTGCGGCTGCTGC